TAAATATATTTTTAAAAATGATAAATTTGATGTGAAAGTAAGATTTAGTAAAACTAGTGCAAAATTCACTGTTTGGTGCGCTAGAGACTGAGATGTAGCGAGTCTAGCAAACTCCGATTGGTTCTATGAACCGGTAAGGTGTATGAGGCTAATTGTCCTATAACTTCTCTTTTGTTTGTGTTGGTTGATATATGTCTTTACAGTTTAAAGTGTGTAATTATGCTACAAATATGAGAATTCATATAAGAAGACAGAGAGCGGGAGTATTCAGGAGCTATAAGGTCTATTTTTAGCCTTGTTGTAAGCTATGTTATTGTTAGCATTTTATCTAAAGCTAGTTTATTTAGTTACCGTTGGGATAATTGAACGTGTGCTCTTGAGCTTTTATCCTTGTGACCCAGCAAGGTATGCTTTTTTATTTTTGTTCATCTAGCTTCTTTCAGTTATATTTGGGTTGAAATACCCCTTATACTTCTATTAATTTTATTCTTTGTTACGATAAAAAAAATGTATCAAGATTCTTCTACAAAATCAACATTTAGAAAATTTTAGATAATTGATAATAATTGTGTTTAAATAATGGACAGTAAATACATTGAAGAAAGCTATTATATTTGGTGGAATAATTATTAAGAAAATATTATACAAGATAAAATTTTGGTCCACCAAGTAACATATCGTATCGTACCCTACATTATTTTTCAAAACTAGAAGATATAGTTAAATTTTCGGGTATTCTGAGTGTAAATTTTATACTATAATGACTTTTATAATTTCTTTAGATAATTTTAAATATATATATATATATATATTTAAGATTAAAAAAATTATTTTTACAATTAAGTCATGCGTAAAGTTTTTTAAATTAATTACTTTCATAAATAGTTTTAGAAAAATAAATCAAAAAATAAGATTAATTTATTGATATGTTATAATTAACGTATCCTTAGTGTAAAATAATATGAAAGGAATTTATTGGTACTTATTATTAATGTTTAATAAATAAAAAAATTTATTTTATTCTTATTAGTGTTTTTAAAAAATTTTTGTTAAATATGTAAAATTAAAGACATTTTGTAGATAAATTAACATGAGATCATTTTATGAAAATGTTTAATTTAGTTTTTATTTTATGCTAAACAAGTTTATACAAAAAAATTCAAACAAATCCAAATTAATATAGCTTATGATATAGAACATAGTTATATAATATTTATCAGTACAAACCTAATATAGAAAGAAATCACATTGAATATTTTATTATTATATTCCCCTAGTACAGTGGCATTTATAAGATCTAGAAATCACTTTCAGAAGTTAGCAAACAAAAGCAACTAATGATAACCTAGTTCTTTGCACCATTCCTGATAGAAAAACAAATTGGACATACAATGTTACTAATAAAAACCCTAATTGTTCTTAGATATTAAAACTAAAAACAAAATAATGCCACCTTTCATTGACCACCGAGCTCTTTCAAGTTCTAACATTATCAAATCAAAATCTCCTTTACAAAATAAAGAAGAGCCACACTGTAATTATTTAATTGTTAATGGATATAGGTTAGCACAGTTTTATTTAATTAGCATTGTCCTTTATTTTTATTTAATTTTTCCATTCTTAGTGCCTTCTATCTTTTTATTTATTGCTTAAAAGATATTTTAAATCCCTACAAAATTAATATATTTTTATTTTAATTAATTCCTTTCAATAACTTTTTTACTCTCCATACAAAAAAAAAATAATAAATCTATTATCATTTAGATATACCACATTCAATTTTTTTCTCCTAATTTATAGATAACCTTTTAAGACTTTTCCAGATACTTTTTTAAATGTAGATTATATTTTTTATATGTATAAAATAGTAAACTTGTCTAGCTTTATATAATATAATTTTCAAAGCGTAATACAAGGATTATTAATTGATAGTATATTGCAAAATATATATATATATATATATATATATATATATATATATATATAAGACGAATGTTTTGTTATTGTTTATTTATAAGTATATAGAAAAAAGATAAACATTTGAAATATTTATTAAAATATATTTAAGATTTTTTGGTGTCTGGGCACACATAAAATCTTTGACCTTTTCTTTGTAGGTGTTGATATAAATTTGGTAATTAGAGAGAGTTAGTGAGTCCTCTTGACCGCCATCGAGTTTCTGGATGAAGACTGAGTCAAATATTAAATACATGTTTTAGCATGCCGCGTAATGTTTCTATAAAATTTAAAAATGGGGAACAATGGTTGGTACATCAATTAATGTTCAATGGAACGTTATTGTCTCATAAATTCATATTTAAACCACAATCACACTTTTTTTAACCGACGAGCAATAAACACTAAATTAATAAATTAAAAGAAGTAAGTGAAAAATTAGACTTAATTTGAAAAAAATTATATATATATATATATATATATATATAAATTATCATTAATTTTGATTTTTAAATTATGTAAAATTCATAAATTTATTCAAATATAATCCTTCTGTGAATAAGTATGATAATAACGATTTTTTTCGCCCTGTAATCTGATAAAAATCACAACTATAATTAGTGTATTAAGGAGAAAGGTAATCTTCTTTACCAATGGATGCCCGTAAAATTTGAAAAAAAAAAGAAACAACACGGTTAGTGCGTCATGTTGGGGTTGTAATGACTTATTCTCATGAATTTGAGGAATTTTAAAACTTTCTACCACTATCAACATAAAGCTTTGACCATATACGACGGATAAAAAGGTATATTGGAAATGTTTTCACAAGTTTCTCAATAAAACATTACTAAATTAATAAAAATAAACTCATTTATATAAATTATATATTAACTTTTATTCAATTATTTTTTATCTTATTTCTATCTTATACAAGTGATTACCAAAAACTTTACTCACACTAATTCGTTATAATAATTTAATTAATGCAAAAAGTTAATTTATCCATAATAATATAATTAACTGAGTTATTAAATGATGTTAAGAGACTGAGAGTTTGAAAATTATAAGAATCTATATGTTATAAACAAATTCAAAAGATATTTATTTAGTATATTTTTTAATACAAAAAAGTGTTTACTCAAATTAAAACATGTTTCCAAATTGCGTATTATACTTTTAAAACAAAATATTTTTAATGAAATAACTTATAGATCCAAAGAATAATGTAAAATATATGTTAAAGAGTAAAGTTATATCAAGTATTAAAAACATATAAAGTATAAACATCCAATAGTAATGTTTAATGGCTTGTATGGGTATCCAAAAATGTGATAATTTTTATCGGTGAAGGTGATGATAAAATATTGTAACTCGGGACTCAATTATTTATTATTCTTTTATTGTTTGAAAATTAATATGATTATAATTATAATTTATATAAAAGATGACATAATTATGAATTAATTATATTCACAACTCAAGTAAAATATGCTGCTTTTTTTAATATGATTTTGTTTTAGGTGTTTCTTCTAATAAATAATAAGTTTTTTACCCTCAAATAATATTGATATCATATAGAGAGAGAAAGTTAGAGATGAGATTTTCCCTTTCTTACTTTTTAATTGTTGATTTTTCCTTAAATTGTTTCAATTCCATTTATAAAGTTTAAGATTTACTTAATTACTTTTTATTAATTATATTATTATTTTTTTAATTATATTTATCAGAGATAATAATATAAATTATTATGAGTGTTTTTAAGAAAAAAATGATAAGGATATTATTGAAAGGCAATAATAAATATATTGAAAACAATAAAAAATAATATTTTTTAAAACCAAACCTTAAACAAGATATATTAATGAACAGAAGGAGTACTATTTTATGTCTTCAATTACAAAATAATAAATGATGAAGATGATGAATAAATTTATAATTTTTCTTAAAATAAGTGATACTTATATATATATATATTATTTTTATTGCTTATATAATAGATATAAGTGTTCTATTCAGGAAAAAAAGCTATACTAAGTTAATTAAAAATAAATAAATATATGTGATTATTTAATGTCAATAATCTTAATTTCCACATGAGTTATGGTATTATAATATGAACGTAAATCTGCAACTTGAGTTTGGAACGTGGTTACGCAAAAAATAAATGAAGAGTTATAACTCTTCATCTTGAACTCTAAAAGCTGCTTTGGAAGAGGCCAATGTTATATTGATAATCGATACAAACTTCAAACAAAGCCACCACAATCTTTGAAAGGTCACCAAGGGAATGCATGAATCATTTTTATGAGATATATGGAACCTGCTTTTCCATTCTTCCAATCTTCGAACGTCTCCCTCTTCTTTCTCCAAATTAATCGTAGGATTCGACACTTCAACATAAATTATGTTCTTATATACAATTCCTCATTGTTCATTGCAAAAAGTATCATGAGACCAACAAATAAAAACCTGCCCAACATTATTTTTAAATCAGATTATAGTCATTGGAAAAAAAAATATCATGTTTCAGTTTGAAAGGACTATGATATATATATATATATATATATATATATATATATATATATATATATATATATATATATATATATATATTTTGTTTATATATGGTCAATTGTCATATCAAGTTTGCCTAAATAGTTGTAGTATTTGTTTTTATATTAAATTTTCATTACTATTTTATTGAAAAAACACTTCGTATATAAATTATTAATGACATTAATCGCTAAACTATGAGACTTTTAAGAGTATTAGGAATAAAATGTTATTTAAGATCCACAATAATTTATGTATATTCTCGTGTTTTAATCTATCAAAATATTTTTCATTATTTTTGTCGATAATAGCGACGAAACTGTATAATAATAATAAAGCAAAAATATCTAAAAATTAATAGCTATGTGAAGTTGGTATATCTGTGTTAGTGTAGTCGTTGTATCATATAAAATTTTAAATTTTATGTTAATAACATACATAGCTTCTTATATATAACCTAAAATCTTCTCATATCCCTCTCTAAAAGACCCATGGGCCACAACCGTTCATCCACCGCTAAGATCATCCCGCTCAAGGCCGAGCCGGAGAAGCTCTCTGGCTTGGCGGTGGAATACCAAAAGCGCAACCGTGAGACGGTGAAAACGGTGTACAAAGCACTGCACGACGGCGACACAGAGAAGCTTGCGAAGGTGGTGAGGACAGAGTTGGAATGGTGGTACCACGGACCTCCTCGTTGCGAGCACATGATGAGAGTGTTGACCGGCGGGTCAACGCCCAAGGGCTTCAGGTTTCGGCCTCGGAGGATCAGGGCCGTCGGAGACCGCGTGATGGTGGAAGGGTGGGAGGGGGCGGGGGAGTACTGGGTGCACGTGTGGACACTCAGGCACGGGATCATTGCTCAGCTGCGGGAGTACTTCAACACCTTCATCACGGTGGTGCTTCGGGTTTCGGAGGATGGTGATGAGGCTCGGTTGTGGCGGAGCTCCGACCGGGTTCGGGTTCACGTGTCCTTACCGGATCTGGTGCTTTCAGTTTAAATCATGTTCGTTTGATAAATATAGTTTTACTTTTATATTTAATAGAAACTACATTTCCCAAAAGTTTTTAAGAGTCTTTTTAAACGTGATCCACTAAGTTTTGAATCGAAACACGCACTAATTATAATGCGCTAGATTGCTAGAATAAGCCCAGGCACAGATTCACCACAAAGCTTACTTTCCCAAATGCATTGACACTTGGAGGCATTTGGAAGAGCTTGTGATAAGCGAGTGACCGTGACGGAAGTGTTGACGTACTCTCTAACCTCCGTTATGAGCCCGTCAACGGACACAGTCCAAGCGTGCACCCACCACACCAAGTGGGCCTCATCGAACGCTTCCGCGATGACCACAGGCCCAAACCCAACAACATGTTCTGGAACCGGAGCCTTTGAGGAGGGTGTTGAGCCCGTTAGCCAGGGAACCAAGTGGTGCTGATGGCATGGTGGGCCATGGAACCACCACTCCAAGTCCTGGGCCACAAGCCCATGGAGCGTCTCGGTTTGTTTGGACGTTAGGGCTTTGTATAACTCCGTCACCACTATGGTGTTGCGCTCCACATATTCTTCCAAGCATTCTTCTGATTCTGGGTTTGCCAGCTCCACGTAGTGAAAATATGAATCTATGGATGAATAATGAGGGTAGGAATGAAAATGAATGTAGAGTGGGGATCTTATATAATGGTGTTCATGAGATAAAATAATTTCAAGTGTCTACTACACTTTCTTTTTCTTATGTTAAGTTCATTAGAAATTTTGATAATAAAGTTCATAATTGTTCTCATTCAATTACAATAAGTTGAAGGATTTTAATGCAAATAATCAAACAACATGTGATAGAAAAAAAAAAAACTTTACGTGGCGATAAATTAAGAGAAGTACTAATGATACACTATTTAATATATTTTTTATTAATTAAAATGATTAAAAATTATAACTATAAACTCATCAAATAAAGAGTGAACTTACATAATTTAGTAATGTTCAATAAGTTTTAAAATGTATGAAAATATTAAACACAATTTGAAATATTATATTAACGATATTAGTAATAATTTATTTTTGGCAAATTGGAAGTAGCATGTCTTAAAATTTATTTTGTCCAAAGAAAGTTGCATGTCTTACTTGTTTCTTTCCTAATTTACATGTATTGAGTTAATAAAAAAAGACAACATATTACTTATCAATCATCTTTTGATAATTCCATCAGTAGTTTGTGTTTTAATCGACTGTAATTATGATTAAATGTTAAAAATGAAAAACATAACATTCACTTGCCCCCCAAAGGGACCTTTGGTGTTGATCAAGAGACGTTTGAGGCTTGAAGGAGAGGGTCAAGGATGAAGATGAAACAGATAAAAATGTATTAAAAATCAATGTGTTTTGTACTCTTTAAAAAGTCATAAGGGGACAAAGGGAAAAGTTCAAACATTTTCTTAACAATTATTATTATTATATATTATAACATTAAACCCTTTTAGTCTTCAATTTTGTTTTGCTTTAACTTTCTTTTCAACAAATTTATCCTATTTTTTGCTTCTTCTGGCAAATCTTAACTTCTAAACTTGGAAGATACTCTCATTCAAAACGCTTTTCCACATTAAATATGAACACAATTTAAAAAAAAAAAAAATCATGATTCATTATAGTATTTGAGACTGATTTATTTTCTCACAACATTTCGTTTATATTTCACTTAGTAAATGCAATTTTTGTGATTTGGCAAATTCTGAATGAAAACAAAATTTAATGCAAAACCATTATTCCTAACATGGGTGGTGTTTTGCACGTCATTCCCATTTTACGTGGCTCGTGTTTATAGTTTGCACCAATATCACCGACTTTAGGTATGTTACTTTTGAAGATAACATACTAAATGTTATTGAAAAATCTTGGATACTTTAGCTATTTTATATATCTCAACTTTCTAATAAAGTATTCAATCTTTTAAGTTTAAAGTATAATCGTCTAATATAATTATCTGAAAAAAATATTTTATGTGTTGAATAAATTAAAATTTCTATATACTCTTTATTTATCAGTTTGTGTAGTAGTTTAAACTTACCAAATCCTTCTAGTTTTAATAAGTAATATATATTGTTTAATAAATACGATTATTACATATTATTTTTATATTTAACTGATAATTTACTTTTTAATATCATATTTTTATTAAAAAATTATATTTTACTTATATGCTTATAATTTTTTTATACATTAATTTTGATATTATAATTTTCAATGATTGAAAATATTATTAATTTTCTGATATATCATAAGTTTAAATTATATTTCTAAAGACAAAAATACTAATATTTTTGCGTAGTTTTAGACATTAATGATTATAGTATGTTAAAATATATTTTTAATACTAATAATAACAATAATGATTATTATTTATTTTTTTCTTACAGAATTTTAAAATAAAAAATTACAGAGATTAAAATAAGAGAAGATATTATTTGTAAGTGCTTAAAGCATATTCGAGTTTTATATTAGTTTTAAACTGTGAAACTATTGGATAGAAAAAAAAACTAATTATCATGCTTATATCATATACAGTTTTAATATATCATAACTATAAATTTTAAAAATTTTAATTTTTTTTATTATTATTTATCTTTAAAGATAACATTCTTGTTTATGATATATAGAAATATTATTTTATAATGATTTAATATTATCAAAGTTATTAATATTTTTTATATTTTATTAAACTAATCATAATTATACAGGGACTAAAAGTTGATGATCTGAAAATGTGAAAAAAAAAGAATATATTTAATCTTTAATTGATTTAATTTTTTCATAACTTGAGTGCAAACTTTAACCCTTGACATAATTTCCTTATAGTACTCCTCAAATTTGGGAAGAGAGGGATAGGGTTAATTACAATTGAAATTTTTTGCAAAGAATAGCAAAATCTCATTTAATACAAGAAAATTCTCTCAATCCACAAGTTATAGCAAAACTTGGGAAGTTTTTTAAATCAGAATGACATGTAAACACTGGAAAATCTCTTAATAAGAAGTCACTCTTATTTGAAATAGGAAAAAAATAAAAAAAAATTGTAACAAACATAAACAACTCTAGAGGTTCAAGTTGACGTGAAAAACTTTCTCAGCACAAACTGCTACAATAACTGGACCAACTAGATCACCAGCAGCACAACCTGAAAATATTATATTAGAATAAAGAAAAAACTATTTTAATTATACTGAAATATATTTTAATGTAAGATTTATATTCTATTTATATACATTATAATTTTATTATATCTCTAATCCGAGATTTTAATATATTCTTTTGCGTTAAACAGAGATTGTTCAAAGAAAAGATAACTGGATGATTTCTTTCAATTTATGTAAAAAAAAAGGGAAAAAAAGTTAACCTTTTATTGTGATTTCTAGTTTATTTATTTGGTTACTTAAGTTTTAGGCTAATAACCACTATTATCCTAATATAATGGAAGTGGGTGTAACAAAAGTGAGTGTAACAGTTTGAGAAAAATTAGTGATATGATTCCATAAACGAGTGAGAATGAAAGAATGTTTGGATGCAAATTTCATATTCTTACCAATCCACTGGCCAAGTGAAGGAGGAATAAGGGCAGCCCCAATCCCTGCCCCAATAGAGGCAAAAATTAGAGATGCATTGCACCTTACTGTAGCCAGGAAAACCTTCTGTCTAAGAATTCTGACTCTCACATCACTGCTTAGATTTTCATTCTTTGATTTTGACTTAAAGTATTGAAACAATCCTACGCCTACTTGAACAAGCCATGATGCTGAAACTCCAAGCATGTACCCTGAACACAAATATTAACACAATATAGCTCAGGTCAACAACTCAATAAACCTCATAATCAACATCAAATTTATTCATTGCTTTGACCTCTGAAAGTTGTTTTGCTCACAGAGCAAATGTAAACTAAAGTAGGCATTTTCCTTCCAGCCTTGCGAACAGCGGATTCAGGAACATCTGCTCAAGAGATAAATTTAACATGTATAAGATTTTAAAACAAAGTTATCATGATATTTTCTTTTGTTTTGTTTATTCTCTTTGTCATTCTATCCAAGGAATTTTGGAACTATTTAATCAACAAAATAATGCACCTTTGAGTAGTTTCCATGCCATTCTTCTTGAAACATAATATACAGTTATTCGTTCTAAAATGCGTCTAGTTGTCACCACAGTTACCTGTGATAAATTCAAAACAAATCAAGTTTTTAGCTGACATGGTAATTAAATAAATGTCGAAAGAAGAACCAATACAGGACTTCACACTAAAGTATAAATTATGTAACATATATTTCTTTTTACTGGGCACTTTGAACAGAAAATTTTCAGAAACCAGTATCATGATATATGAATCATTAGTTGAAAGTTCCCTCTGGAATTGAAATATATATATATGGAGAAAATTAATCAAATTGGTCTTTTATCTGATGGATGATTTGAGACATAAGATTAGGTTCACCTCACGGATGATTTGCAATAGTGACTTTTTGAATGGAATACTCAAATTTCCAGTAAGGCCTTTTTTGTCCTGAAGAAACTCAACATCATCTTGTTCCATCTTTGCATGAGGCTCCATAAGAGGCAAATAAAACATTAGAAATGATCTGAATGTAATAATTGTAAATGACTTCAATTCGAAAGCAGAAAACAGTGGTTTGGGCTCAATGTTGTAGTGCTTGTTGGTAGTATATTTTAGAGAATCATGGTAGAAATATTTCCCAGGTACTTTTCCCATGCTAGGAATGCGATCTTCAGAAATTATCGCTCCAGCATCACAATAAGCAACTGGTGGCCTGAAACTGAAGTTTTATAGCTATAATGTCAACATAAACTCAATGATAACCAAGGATGTAAAACATTCTTTTTTTCTGATCTCCTGAACTTTGCATATTTTATAGAATTTGTAAAACAATGTTCAGCGATGCATCCTCTCAAAGTATAATAAACTGTACAATCATAATATGCAGTAAAACTATGAATCCCCTCCTTTTCCCCCAACATTAACATCAATATATCATATTGAATATTGCATGCATGCGTCTTTTTGGAAAGATAAAAAAAATTGAATAGATGAATGCATGTAAAGGATCAAAACTTTAACTATTTATCTTCCAAATCAAATTCAACACAGTAATTCTTATTATGAACTTAAATTCCTTTTTCATCCAACAAATATTTGCTTTTTCTTCTAGTATGTAATTATTTTAATGATAAATATACTACCTAAACCTTTTTTTACCATTAGTCTCTAATACAAAAAAAAAAAAATGCTGAAATCACTTTAAACCCTAAATGACATAAGCACAACACAACATCTATGAAACCGCGCGCATAAGCACTTTTATAATGAATGACATATAACAAGATCACAATAAAAAAAATTACAGTAACTAAAAAGTGTTAATATATATAGTAGCATGAGGAGAAAGATATTTAAGCCATTTTAATTTTTATGTACATCGAGGACAATAAAGATAGAATTTAAGATTTCATGCACAATACTCAAACTCTTCTCCAGGTCTATCTTTAGTTTTATAACCTTCTTATTAAATCCTTGTAATACATAATTAATGATTAAAATAAAAAGTTAATATTAACGTAGATTAAATTGTGCGGAGAAAAAATAGTGAAAGATCATACCCAAAGAAGTCCTTTGAGGAAAAAGATGTGGCTGCAGCAAAAGAGGCGACAGTGGCAGATGCAGAAAAAAAGGAAGAAGATTGATAGGTCCGTGCCGTGTTAAAGCTTTGGTTTTTCTTCCATAGATCTAACAGTAGTGTTAGTCCCACCATTGTAGGTCCTTACAAGTTACAACACTAATGAGTAAGTGACAAAGTGGATCTCCACAAAAATGCAATCACAAGATTCACAACATTAAGTTAAAAGAAAAAATCTGCAAAAGCAAAGACTAATAAATGGTTGGGAATGACTTCTAATTCCAATAGATTTGATTCGGTTTTGATGAATAAACTCAGTTGTGTTTCTCATGATTGCAATGATCTTCACATTTTAGAATTACAAGTATTTTGTTTAACTCAAATTCATTACCAAAGGGACTAAAATTTGTAAATAAAATCATGCAGCATTACCTTGGTGTGGGGTTTGAGAGGCAATTTTGGGCACCAAAGGAGGGGGGTCACCAACGCCAAAACCAAAGTAGAAACTAGCCAAGTGAAAGGTGGAACTAGTAAAAGTTGGGGGAGTTAGAAGAGAGAAAAGTGATAACAGTTAACAAATGTGTTTGAAATGCACCAGGAACTATTTTTGTGGCAATTCGGATCTGTGATTTGTCTCTTTCCAACTTGCACGAGGTCTTCAACTTCATTACTTTCTACAAGTAGTTAGTTTTTTTAAAACAGAGTTTAAGTGAAGTATATAAAAAAAAAATTCAACAACATTGAAGAATATCAAATTTTCACAATTATAAATATGTACTTCCTTCACCATGCATACATACGTTCCCATGTAAAAGAAAAATCAAATTTAATAATTAAAATGTTATTTTCTAAACTGTATTAATATTTTAGGTGATATTTTAATTATGATGATGAAACGATTAGATTGATATTTATAGTCCATGAACCCGTTCTAACATGTAAATTTGTCGAGTCGACATATAAGGTTATATAAGTGATATAATTTACAAAAATTTAAAGAAAATTTATTATAATTTATGAAAATAAGTAAATTTATTATAATTTATAAAAAGAGGATATAACAATTTTACTCGTACAAAACACTTGTCAATGTCTCTCATTCGTGCTCATCTCTTCTTTACTCACTATTTTTTTTCGTAAATATGCAGTTTTATTAAATAAAAAAAATATCATATATTTTTTGTTTTAGGTATTTAAAAATTTTCACCATAAAAAATCTTATAAATTTTAGTCTATTTGTTATTTATTATTATATAATTTTATTTTTATTATTTTAATTTTTAATTTCTTAATGTAATCTACCAAAAATATATTATTAATATATATGTTGTGTGATAATTAAGAAATAAATAATAATTTTATTATTTCACTAAATAAAAAATAATAATTTAATTATTTTAAAAAATGCGGTGGGCTAACTCATCTGTTAATGATGAATTAAAATTTATAACTCATTTTATTATAACAATTTATTTTATCATATTTTTTTTATGAATTAAAAAGAAAACGAGACAAAATAGGATAAAATAATTTTTTTTCATGTCTAATTTTAATACCTAGATTATTAAGATGGAATTCTAATTTTAAAGAAAAAACTACACAACAGCTCCCTAAAAATTGGTATTAGATTTCTCTATTATATTATAATATTACCTCAGACAACTAGCTCTTTTTTTCATAAAATAAAATTGACAATTATTAATTATATTCCCTTTTTACTTATATTCTATTTTCAAAATTAATTTCTGAAATATATTTTGAGATTTATAATGTTTAAAAGTTAATATGATACAACTTGTTCTATTCTTTAAGGTGAAGAAGAAGGAGATTCTGTGTCTTCTCATTGTTGAAGAAATGGAGACATGGGGTCAGGTGTCCATGTAAAACCAGGAAACAGAAAATTAGAATATATCTCTCAAATTTCAGTAATAAATATTTTTTTTTCTTATTGACGAAAAGTGACTTCTTTTAATTATGATTGGAGTTTAACTTAAAGTTGAACTTAGAAATTTTGAAATAGTATTTTATTTTTTTTATTTATTTCACGTGGTAGATAGTTGCATCAACTCAACCTTCATCCATGTTCTTGCCCTTCATGGCATCTTTCTCGCAAACAAAACATACCTTACACTATTACGAAGCTCTCACAATTGGATCCAAAAAGTTAAGTTTCTAGGAGTTTTACATTATTTTGAAACTTAATTTTTGAAATATACACAACTTAATTTTCAGAAAGACATTATTTTTTTTTTAAATGAAAATATACAAATATCATGTGCTCAAAATCTGAATCATCTTAACATAAGCCCAAGTGACCATGCATTACACAACTTCTCTGGCCCATGAATGCGAATAAGATAGTACCCTAAACCTTCATCCCTCTTCCCATATCAGTTCTCATGTCTTGTCTCTCAAAACCCAAAACCCAAAACCCAAAACATAAACCTCACATCTCCGCACGCACACTTTTCTGTGATTCACTTATAGAAAAACAAAAGAGCAGAGGAAATGTTACGGTCCTTTGCAAGAACCGCAGCGACCCATCATTCATGGCATCACAAGCACGCTCCTTTCTCGTCTCTCAGCCACTCTTCTAGGACCCCAAAGCCCACAACACCCTTCCAACCCGATCCCAAAAAACCCACCTCCTCCGCCACTGCCGCCCCACTCTACGATGAACAAGAACGTATCCGGCAACTCGCCGCCGATGACAAGAACCCTTCACTTGATGTGGGGCCTAATGGCCGTCCTCTATTCACCTCGGCGCCTTCCCTCTCCCACCTCTCCCGCAACGATGCCCGCACCTACTTCAAGCTCACGTACTGTTCCCACCAACCTCGTTTTTCGTTGTGGCATTTTGTCGAACTGTATGTGTGCGTCTTTGATTCTGACGTTTTTCCTGGATTCTGAGATCCTGGGTCGGTTTGGTTTTGCAGGAAGGATACCCTGAACGCAGTTTTGCCCGAGGGATTGCCAGTGGGTATGGTGAACGAGTTTCAGGATTCGATGCGGACGGCTTTGCTTGTTCGCCAGAGCTTTTTGGATCTTCGTGATAACTTCAGGCGCGTGGTGGATCCACCAATGTGGTCCGCTAATGGTAAAGGTGCGGCCTTTGTGTTGTTTTTTACCTTGATTATTTTTTAATGCATTTTATTAGGCTCAAATCCTTATGTTTCAATTTTCATTATCAAGTGTAGAAAGATAAAATTTGGTACAGCTCTGAACCATTCACTACACCAGCAAAAGTCAATCACCTGATTGACAGAGTTGAACTTGAAGCCACAGAATTTACAGAAACATTAAAATGTGCTACTACTATTGATATTGTTTTGTTCTTTTCATATATGGGCTTTCGGACCTTGTAATAATTCTCTGTGAACCTGATTGAGATTGTTCCTGAGTGTCTTTTTGTCCACGGAATTTTGGTCTCCTATCCTGTTAGCTAAAGTTAGGTCTGAGCCTTTCTCTCTCCCCTCTGCTTGCTCAATTTTCTCCATGAAAAATGATTAGTTGCCATTGTGAATTATGCTTGAGTTTCTCTCAAGCTGGTCTCCCAATGCTGCTACCAAAGATGTTTTGCCACTTCCAGATGGACCTAACGAAGGAAAGAATGTCATAAGTGTCAAAATATGCTGACAATGTCATTGCTCTACAAAAGGATAATACTATTATGAATGCATCTCAGCGCTACGAACTAGAAATTAATTGTGGGATTTAATTGAGGAAAACAGGATTTTCTTATGTTAGTCCATGCATAGAGGAAGATAGTAAGATTATGTTTGGGTAAGCTTTAATTAAGCACTTATAGTAAAAGAAAATTTAAGAAAAAAAAAAGAAATAATTTTCTTCATTAGCTAAAACTAGCTTATGCATAAGTTATAATCTGATTTTGAGAAGCTAATATGAGAAAATTTCTACAAATTAACTTATGCATAAGTTAATTTTAGCCTATGGATAAACTTATTTTATTTTTCTCTTTTGTTTTCTTCTCATATTGTTGAAAGTCCCACATCACCTACCTCATATCAGTTGGTATGGTTTAAATACATGTTAGGCTATTCCATATATAGCCAATTGGTTTTATGTTGGAACCTTAACATGGTATCAGAGCCAAAGCCTAACATCTTTCCGGTTATTGTCATGAGCCAAAAGTTGCCCTTTAGTTGGGTCAAAAGTACCCTTTGCTTGGTCCAGCAGGCTTCGTTGGAGGGGTTGTGTTGAAAGTTCCACATCACCTACCTCATATCAGTTGGTATGGTTTAAATACATGTTAGACTATTCCACATATAGTCAATTGGTTTTATGTTGGAACCTTAACACATATAATTGGTTATGGATAAATTCTTCCAAACAAACACTAATTATAAATGAGGTAAACCTTCATTAAATTCAAAAAAAACCTTCAGAGTCTCTAGAGGATTTCTCTTGTGAAAAAATGTCAGGTGCTTCCTCCTGTAATGTTGCCTTTGAAGTAGTTTGAGACTAGTCTGGCATCCCCTGCTCCATCTATATTCACTTACAAGTTTCATAGAATCACCTTTGAAATTCTACCATGCATCTTTTAATAATGCCTTAAATCTATTTCCCTCTAAATAAGAATAAAGCATTACACAAATGACTTAAAATGCCTCAATGAGATAACCTCTCTGTCTAAGTGTGACTTTGGGTGCGATTTAACTGCATTAGGTACTATCATTTTCACAAAATTGCATGAACCCTCTCATTGTTTATGATGTTAGTATTAACTGATTAGGACACTAAAGTTGTCTATGATGCTAGCATGATAGCATCATTATGCTACGTTGCTAGAGAAAATTTGGTTCGAGAGCCTGTCCCTTTTTTGGTCTCCTATCCTGCTAGCAAAACTAGTCTCCTGTAATCCAATAAATGATGCTTCTAGTCCTTATTATTATATCCTAGTATTGTTCAATCATATGTGCTTTAGTTCTTATTATAATCAAGTCCAATATCTCATATGAACACAAAACGCTCATCCAATTCAAGAAAACATAAAGAAAATAATTTCAAATAAAATGTTAAACAAACAATTTCAGTTATGAAAGAGCAAGCAAATATTCTTTGTTTTTTCTAATAGTATTTAATCATTGAAATCATTTAATTTTTATTATGCTTTGTAGTTAATCAGATCAAAGTGCTTTTATAAGTTCATTCAAATACCTGTTATCATTTCAAATAAGCACTCGAGTCTGTATCTTTTGAATACGATATTAACTTACCTAAAAGGAGCTTTTCAAAGTAAAACTTTTAGATAAGCTCTTCTAAATAAGATTATCCAAACAGACCCCTTATGATGTATGCTAAGTATGTTAACATTTATCATTATTACCTTAAAGGTTGACTGTAAAGTTTTTTACTGCCTGAAACTTAAACCTCTTTTACAGGAGTTAAAGTTAGGAAGCAAGTGGTGTTAGATGGTCCTGTTAGCTGTGGGAAGAGCATTGCGCTTGCAATGCTTGTTCAGTGGGCCCGAGAAGAAGGTTGGCTGGTTTTATATGTTCCTAAAGGCAAGGAATGGACTCGTGGAGGATTTTTCTATAAACACCCACACACTGGTTTATGGGACACACCTGTCCAGGCTGAGAATGTCCTCAAGGCAAGACTGAATTTTAATAATTTTAAGTTTTAATTGTGCTTTGTGTTTGCTCTTTCAACTTTCCAATCAAATACCTCATTTTCCGTTCATTTCTCACTTATTTCTCTTCTCTTCTTTTCTTTTCTCTTCCACTCCCTCATTGTTGTTTGCACCGTCCAAATGAAGGTGAAATGTCCATGTTAGTATGGTTCAAGTGGTTTCCTATTCTGGTGCCAATTGGGAATCTATGCAACTTTTTGTATTCACATAGTTCATCTGGCAGTTTACCTAAAAATAGTATGTTGCAAATTCTTAGATATATATTTTATATGTGAAAAAGTTGTTTTTGGTACCTGAACTATGAAATAGATGAATTTAGTCTTAGAAATGTGAATTCAGTCACCTTTCCTACTTTGTAGTAGTAAAAAACCACCCCTAAATATTAGATTAAAAACATGAAAAGAGACTAAATTCACATATTTAGAGTTGGAGGATTAGATTCTTCAATTTGAAATTACATGGACCAAAATTAAGTTTGAACATAAGTGTATAGGGACTAAAATCACATTTTACACTATTTATATTTAGCATTGTTTAGTGAATATAGAAAGAATGAGTATGCCTTTCTGTCATTTTGTTATTTTTTTAACTGCATTCTTGCTGTCCTTCTTTTCCTGATACTTTTGAGAGTGTAGCTGTTTTAACTACCCTATGGTGTTACATTTATCTTTTTATCATATTGTATCCATGAACATGCAAGCTAGAGGAGTGAATATCCACATTATCCTGTGATAGTAATGTTGAGTAATACAGCCACCCATTTTCACTGTTGCGGCGCATGTTATTTGTTATGAACTGGCTTAGTATAGTTCTCAACCCCTATACGTATAAGTAGCAAGACAGATAGATGTTTTGGTGAAATAAATTTTGAATATGAAATTCGAGGAACAAGGAAGATGGTTGTCCACATTTGTTTATTGTTTTGTTTTTGGCTTCCTAGATTTATTACCCTGAGTTATTTTGAATGTTATGTATGGGTCATTTATTTCCAGGATTTTTTGAAGTACAATGAGTCCTACCTAAAGCAACTTCCCTGCCAAATATTTGATCCAATCCTATTAGGTGAGGGTGCTGGTGTTGGATGGTTGAAAGATGCAGATTCCTTGGCAATTCCTGAAGGTACAAATTTATACGAGCTGGTGAGAACTGGCATTGAGCAGACACATGCAGCTGTTGGAGTGGTAGTTCGTTTGAGGAAAGAGTTATCACTTATTAAAGACAGGCCTGTGCTTATTGCAATAGATCAAGTGAGAAACATATTCCTTGCTGCTAAATGATTCTCATTTTATTCAAAATTAGGTTATGTTATATTTTGATTGTCTTTTTTTCTGTGGTTGCCTGTCTCCAGTATAATAATTGGTTTACATTCAGTGAATATGAGGAGCCAGTCACTATCCGGTCTTGCCGGCCAATACACGCTAGAGAACTTACAATGGTTGGTACATTGCTTTGTTTACTTTAAAACGTAGTTTACAATATATAGCATTACGGATTTCTGCTTCTGGAAATGTGCTATTTTTCATTCATTTTTATTGGGTTGCTGTAAGCTTACTTATATGAAAATGCTGGTCATGCTTTTGGTATGGAGAGAAATAGACCTCCAATTTCTGGAATCTGTATTTGTCTTAATTTACTTATGTCAGCAATTAGGCTTTTGCGCGAATGATTAGGGACCTCCTTACTGTTGCAGGTGAAAGCTTTTAGACCAATGATGCATGATGATATGATGGTAGGTGCCTTTTCTCATTCAACAGCAGTAGGAAAACTTCGTAAAGACTTACCAGATGTTCCAGTAAATGCTCGTGTTATGTTTCCTCGATACAGTTTAGACGAAGCCGAGACTGTTTCCCATTATTATTTAAGGTATGCTTACACAGTCGTAGTCTCTAGTTTCCTGGTTGATAACATTAGTGATAGTATCATGGTAACAGTTTCCTGTGCATAGCAGGTACTAAATCATTTGTTAATAAAACAGTTTGTATAATGAACCTAGTCTACTTTTGTATATGATAAATTTTCCCTTCACTCAATTTTCTAAAGATTTTTCTATTTGAACTGTATCATTGTTTAGGCAGTTTCCCATATCTAAGGTACATGAATAATTTGGTCAAAATAAAGAGAGAAATTCTAAATTTTTAACTGGTCCTTCAGCAAGTGATTAATGAATTAATGACCTTTATATTTATAATCTTTATAGTCCTTAAGCAGAAGTATTGTTAATCATTTCTTGGATCTATCGTTTGTTGGTTATGTTTTGGTTGTTACTAAGGCAAACAAATTCCTTAGCTTGCTGTGTTCTAGTTTGTTGAAGTTGTGTTATGATTTTTGACAGGCAAAGGCTAATTCGTCGTGAAGCGTTCTCAGAAGAAAATTGGAAGAAAATTTACTTCCTGTCCAATGGAAATGGAACAGAGATTAGGGGGTTGGTTCCGTTCATGCGATGACAAACAACAGATGCATTATTTCACACCACTGAGATGTGTTCTTCTGATCATTACTTTTAATAATATTAATGTTTCGCATTTGCTTCAACGTAGGATTCAGTTGGATTGCTATTTGCATGACCCATCCACTTCAATCCTTTTAATTAACATTAACAATCATTCTTCAAAGCAATGTACTATTATGTATATTAAATACTTGCATTTTATAGTTTTAGAATGAGCAATAGTTTTCTTGACTTTCGGTCTCTTAAATAACATTAACAAATTAATGACACTGACAGAAGCACACGTATCCAAGGTATTTTGCATTTTCTCTCTCCCAGTTGTACATACACCGATAAACAAGTATAGGAATATGGATGGATCGAGATGAATTATTATTTTACAGTTGAAATTACATCATATCGTTTGTAATAATAATACACACTAACAGAACATTATTTAGCATTTTAACGAAGCTGGTATTGTGTGGTGTTTTGTATTTTTAGGATATTTATAGGTAGAGTCTAATAAAAAAATCTAATAAAGTAATTTCTAGACGACGAGTCTAAGAATGCAATCTTTAAGATTAAAATCAAATAGATGTTTGCAGGTAGGATGGTTCATTTTAGTTAAGAAAATCGATTAATAATTAGCATAACACAATAACGTAAGTCGTGGTATTGGAAGATAAAAAGAAAAGCACACTAGTAACAAACAGAACCAATTTGCCATTCAATATAACATACTCTTACTGCTAGGTGCTACTCTCATCAGCCCTTGTAGGCTTTAGTGCATCCATCTCCTCCCTAAACTTGGGCATGGAAGCTTTGGGGAGGGAAACAAAGACCCTAACTCCTCCTTTCATTGAAGTATCCAAGTTACTAGGAGGCAAGAAAAGGCACAAGTCCACATACCCTAACATGTTCCATGGAACTGGTACTATATTTACCGAAGCCTTCCATCCAAAATCCACTTCTTCCAACAAACTTAGCTGCCTCCAATCTGTTAACACCACAGATGCACATGTTCCTTCAATCCTTATGTTCCTTTGTCTCATTGTCTCCAGCATGTTTATTGTGTTTCTGATGTACTCATTATTGGAAGGAAGCTTTTTGCTCTCTTTGATGAGCTTCACAACCTCTGAGAGTGGTCTTTCATCAAGTTCTTTCACTGTTTGCACCACATTTGAACCCACAAAAGCATTCCCATAATACCCTTCAGGCAAGGGTGGATCCAACAGGCGTCTCACCCCTACTGCTAAACACAACATAGTTTTCCCGTCAGAGTTCAATTCCAAAGCTCTAGCCCTTGACCTCCAAACATAGGCTCCAAGTGTTTCAACAGTTGTGAAGCTTTCCTGCACATCATCACTTTCCTTCATCAGTTCCATTTTGAGTCTTTGTATGCTCTTACCGTTGAAGTTAAAGCATTCATGTGAAATCTCCGTAGTTGGCCAAAATGGTGAAACTGCCCTTGAAGTCTTATCAAAGGGAAATTGGAGTGGTTCCTTAAGAAGCGTCCCCATGAGTCTCTCCCTCTCCCACACAGGCTTCACTGAGGGCTCACTTTTTCCACATGCAAGTTCAGCCAGAGCTCTGAAGAATTGAGATGCACCAAACCCATCACAAACACTGTGTGACAACCCCATTCCAATAGTGAAACCTCCGCAGAGAAACTTGGTCACCTTGAAAGCCAAGGCATGGTGACTAGTTTCATCTTGAGAATGGTTATCATTATTAAACACCAATTTCTGTGCTGTTGTAACATCAATCCCTTCTAGATAGTGAAGAGAAGACAGTTCACAGTTAGCACTTGCCTCCAAGAATGGAACTCCTTCGGCATTGCAGTTGATTCCAAGTTTTCCATCATCAAATGTTATTATCTTCCCAGCAAGAGGATAATAGTAAACCAAAACCTTTGAGAGAGCTTCTTTTATCACATGACCAGGATCTAGTTGGGCATTTGGGGAATCAAGATTTGCTTTGTAAACATAAATGGTTTGACACAGAATGTTGAGAACTGGATCCCTGTCAATGGTGGACAGAGAAAGAAGCTCACATGGTGTGGGCTTGGAGGGTTTAACTATTACAACATCCTTCATATCAAGAACAAAGGATGTCTTTAGGTTTTCCATGGATTTAACGAGTAAACAACAGAGATGTGAGGATATGAATGAGAACACATGTGAGATGGATATGCTTCATATGTATATATATATATATATATGCATTGAATTGACTGTGTAACTCTTCTTTTGCATTATGAGATCGGAATCATTACACTCCCAACTCCTGAAGTGGGTTTGGTTGAAAAATTGGACACATGGAATAGAAACTGACACGTTGATTCATTAAGAGGGAAATGAGAAGTTTTTTTACGGTACTGGTTTAATTTTTAAAAAAATTTACCCAGTGTAAATTTTAAAAAATTACTATTTTGGATAAATTGTCTTAATACCACTCTAAATCGAAGGAAGTGCTTTATTTTATTTTTTTAATTTTAAAGTAAAATAATACCTTCAATGTAAACGTTCTATTGAATTATGATTTCAATTTTTTATATTTCAATAACTATTATTATATTAATAATAATATTTTTATATTATACTTAATTATTTTTTATTATAATTCATTATAATATAAGTAATTATATTTAAATAATCAGTATTATTATGTTTTTTAATTATTAAAAATATTATTTTATCACTACTAATACTGAAATAGATTTTATTATTTTGATACTATTATTTTTATAAAATATTAATAAAAATAAATATTACTAAAATAATATTAATAATAAGATAATAAGAATATTATTAATATTAATAATAATATTACTAATAACTTTAATATCAATAATAATAATAATAATCTATAATTAAATATAATAATTTTTATAATCGTTTTAACTGTTATAGAAAAGAAAAATAAAATTATCATAATTTAAAAAAAAAAATATGAGACAGAATTTTTTTTCTATGTAATTAATTTGAAAAGAATAAATATATTTAAAGAGAAGGAAAAAATAAAATAAATTGAAAGTAGTATTTAAAAATAGTTAAAAAATAAAAAATTTGAAGTCGTGTATTATATAATACGATTCCACTTTAAAACTAAAAATTATATATTTTAAAATAAAAGTTGTGTTACAAAAATATTTTAAAATATATTATGAAATATGATTTTTTTTAATTTAAAAATCGTGTTTTATATGATTTATCAAAAATCATAATTTTTTTAAAGTTATCTATTTTGATAAATTCAACAAAAAAGTTACAGGGTTACAGTAAAAAAAAACGAAATGAGATTTGAAAATGGAACTTACAATTGTACTACCAACTATGGTGCTCCTGTAACATACATAAATTTGTAAGAATTCTGTTAATGAAGATAATTTGGACTTTCATGAGAAAATAAAATAAGATTTGCATAGTTGCGTGTTTTTGCAAAGCATCAATTTTGGTACAAACCACTATCTTTACTTAGAGACAATCATGTTTAAACCGATAAGAACTACATATACGTGTGTGTGATAGAACTCTCTTTTAGAGTATTTTATACAACTGCATAATCAGGATTCAAACTTGGATCCAAAACTGTTGATTAAATTGGAACTATTCATGCATTTGATAGTGCAAAGTACCATTTTATGCAAGTGAAATTATTTCTCAAATCAATCCTATGTTAACACCCATGAACGCATGTAATCTTATCATCATCTTTGGTTAATTGGAGACACTTGTATAAGTTTCAGAAATAACAAGTCAATGTCCTGGGGACGCTTGAGCACTGCACTAGTAGCTGGATAGTTCCTGGATCGCACTACGTAAAGTTATTGGTGCAGGTTTCACACCCAGAAATTACACGGAATTTTGTAACCAGAGACACTTGAATTGATCATCATTTCAAAGGACTTTTTTGTACAAGAACATCTAAGCACAATAGAATACCTTTTTGAATAAGTTGACATTGGTATTTGATGAATGATTCTAATGCAAGCAAGCCACTGTACAATGTGATTCGTGGAATACAGCCATATATGTTCACGTGTAAATTTAAATACGCAAGAGACTATAAGAGAAGTAATCTTATGGTTGACAATGTTAGTTGAAAAGGCTTGGGTGACATAGAAAAGGTGTAGTAATGTGTGTCAACAGACAAGAGGTGTTATGGAAGTGCCTATCACTGTCAATTGTATTTAAATCTCATGTTCTTTACGCGGAAATTTTTTTGTTATAGCAAGTCAATGAGCACAAAATTCCCTTACCTAAGAACATGGCCGAAAGTTTCATTTTGATTTATGGTTTTAAGTTTCTGGATCAACACAAACAGAGGGTAATAAGATCCAAAACAATCAAAGAGTTTGATCCAGAAATGACATAAACTCACCTTCCCAAGCTATTAGAAAACCCTTGTAAATGACAATGATCTTATAACAAATTATTTGAATTTAAATTTTGATACATCATAAATAACAGTAAGAAATCACTTTAAAGTTGAATTTTAAATTGATTATAACAAAACTTAATGATTTTATTATGCGTCCATTCATGATAAAAAGTCATCGCATTTTTTATAAACTGTAAAAGATAAAGCTCACTACAAAAATACAAATAGACAGAGAATGTAAAGATAAACTACATTAATAACATCCTTAGTTGTCATCTTTTATCTCCCAATGAAGAAATGATATCTGGGAAAGATTCATCCAACCATGGTCCTCTTCCTTCCTCTTTGTCGCACTGCAAGTTGTGAAAATGTATGGAAGTAAGTACTATGAAGAAAAAGTGTTTAAGTAGAACAAAGTATAAGAGGGTATAACCTTGTGCTAGCTTGTTCAATGTGGATGACCACTGTTTTGATGACTTCCTGTATGCAGCAAGAATTTGATCCATCTGTCCAGACAAAATCCAATGTTCAAAATTGTTAGTCAATTGATTACTTATTATAATCATAACTTCTGTTAGTCTCAGCAAAAACATATTATAGAAGAATAAGGCTTCATTCACTCTCACTAGAATGTGAAGTTAGATGACATGGATTTGTAGGGTGGTTAAGTAAATCTCAGTCTCTTTGCCACAAAAGGAAGTGCTATTGTTAGTCAACGAGAAGTTCATTTGTAAGAGTTTTTGCCCAAATCTTTGGTGCACAAAATGTAAAGTCCTGATTGTGAACTGTTGAAAACAGGAAATTAGGAAAAAGCTTTATTCCATTGGTATTTCTTTTGGCCAGAAAACTTATCACAAGCATGGCAGACCTCTCCATTGACAGCTTTAATTAAAATATGAACCCAAGAGCCTGTTTATGAAAATTATGATGTAAAGTTTAAGGCTTTAAACTTGGTGTACTAAAATTAGTTTGGACAGAAATTTTTTAGTTAAACGTACCCCAAAGTATGTTATATGCTATCTTTAGACACTGATTCTGTGGAGTGCCCTCTAATTCAAATTCTCATTACAGACAAATAAACCTGTTTTCATCTCCTTAATTTTCTATGGCAATACAGTTAAGGGAAAAATGAAAAGTTAGCTTACCACATCCCCACAAGACGAATGCATTGAGATAAGAGATCTTTCCAGAACATACAAATCAACAGCTTTATCTTCTGGTAGAGTTGAAGTGAAGCTAAGACCAAAATCAATAAGAACCTACTCAAAATACACTTGACTTCTTTAACAACCATTGATTATATTTCTCATGTTGCATAACATGATAATTGGATATAACAGGACATAAGGCATGAATGAACTCACCAACTGCTTGGTATCACTCTTCAATAACATGTTTGATGTTGTTAAATCACCATGTACAAGACCACCGTCATGTAACTTCCCAATTGCATCACCAATTTGGGATGCAATATTGTCCAGCCACTCTTTATCAATCCCATGTGACCCAAATTCAAGAAACACATCTTTGACAGAAGGGCCAGCAACATATTCAAATGTTAAAGTGTGCAACACATGATCCACTGCATACAGCACAGGAGTACAAACCCCAAGTCGCCTTGCTTTGGTCATGGACCTAGCCTCCTGCTCAAGAAAACACTAAAGCATTCAAGAAATGCAACAAATACATATCTTAATATACAGAGCTTCAGCACACAAAAAAAATGTTTTCTAAATCTAACCGCATTTAAGCGCTTGAGGGTCAATTTTGAATCCAAAGTTGGGTGCCTGTACTTCTTTGAGAAGCGTTCCTTGACAATGGATTTCCTTCCCACAAAAGAAGACTCAAAAACCCTCTACAAAAAGGAACATAATTAGAAAGGCACAATTCAGTCACTGCTATTTCATAATAAAGAATCATCCAAAACGGTGGGCAGAACAAGTATAACAAAAAACAAACGCAAACTTTATCCCACTAGGCGAGATTGACGAAAAGGGTTCCACAATGATGATGAACTCAATTGCTATGAATTTCCTCTAAATTGAAACTTATAGAGGAAGAACATTCCACAGGAGCCTCACCAAGAACAAACATCCCACCTCATGCTATGAAGAACAAAGTATCCTCACCAATAACATCGCAAAAGGTACTCTCATTATTTTTCCGTGGAACCAAACAACTGGAAAGAGAAAAATAAAACCTTTCGATAGTTGAAGATATAACTGTGGGAGAAGGCTTATAAATGGTTTTTCACTTAGCTCTTTTCTTGGATGATATTCTTGGTGAATCAGTGACTGTGTTGTTTGACTGTTTGGTGTAAAGAGGAGAGCAATATTGTTGTAAAACTTAAATTAATTATTTGGTATTCCTAGAATAGTATTAATGATTTTAAGTACGAGTTGTATAACCAAAAAATATGGGAAAGCAGACCTATTTAATAGGTATCATGATTTACTTTTTGACATCTGAAGAGGCAAATATTTTGCCCATAAATACTTGCAACAACTAATTTGAAATTGGAGCAGGAGAAACATTGAGAGATTAAAAGAAAATAAAGTACTGCCAACTTCTATTTTCTGCCTTCTTGTTGCCAACAAATTGGCATCAGAGCTTGTGTGTGAGGTGAGCGTGAGAGAACCTACCAAGCCTCAAGAGAGGAGCGACTCAGAGCTTTGTGAGGTGTGTGAGTTGAGTGCAAACACTTAAGAGAAAATGGCAGGTCTAACCAATGACATCCCGCTACCTAAATTGACGAAAGGCGCTAACTATGACAACTAGAAGGTACAAATGAAGGCCCTTCTCGGCTCCCAAGATAACTGGGATCTGGTCGAGACTGGGTATGAGGAACCGATGAACACATATGGATATTCAAATGCCCAGCTGAACGCGTTGAAGGTCATTCAAGCTAAAGACAAGGCAATTTTGTATTTGCTATACCGAGCTGTCGACGAATCTGGCTTTGAGAAGATAGTCAATGCAAAATCTTCCAAAGTAGCATGGGATACACTTGAAAAAACAAATAAAGGAGATGAGCGGGTGAAGCAAGTTTGACTTCAAACCCTTAGAGGCAAGCTGGAAAACATGAGGATGAAAAAGTCTGAAAACGTATTAAAGTTCATTACTCGAGTGGAGATTGTGGTGAACAAACTGAATTGGAATGGTGAAAATCTTTCATCAAACAGAGTTGTTGAAAATATTTTGAAGTCACTGACGGATGATTTCGAGAACATCATGTGCGCAATAGAGGAGTACAAGGATCTATCAACGCTCACTTTTGAAGAGCTTGTTGAGTCCTTGGAAACACATGAGCAGAGAAGGAAAAACAAGAAGGGGAAGTCCCTTGAACAGGCCCTCCAGGCGAAGGCAACAATAAAAGAGGAAAATGTGCTCTATGCTCAGAGTACCAGAGGCCGAGGAAAAGGCAGAGGCCAAGGTGATAGAGGAAAAGGAGGACGAAGAAATGAGTAAGATAATCAACAGAACTGGCGTGACCAAGGTTAGGCTCGGGGTAGCCGGAAAAACACAAACAATATTGAATGCTATAATTGTGGAAATAATGGACATGTTGCCAAAGATTGTTACTCGATAAAATGTTACAATTGTGGAAAGAATGGACATGTTGTCAAGGACTGTTACTCGGTAAAATGCTATAATTGTGGAAAGCTGGGTCATATTTCCAAAGATTGTAGGTCTGAGAAGAAAAAGAAGGAACCAACAAACTTTCTTGCCGAGGAAGAAGATGAAGGATTGCTGATGGTGACAAACATTTCAGAAATTGAGGTCAAACTGGGATGTTCTAATAACTCGGTTTGGTACTTGGACACTGGTGCAAGTAGTCACATGTGTGGTGACGATCGCTTATTTAAAATACTTTCAAAGGTGGAGTCCGGATCGGTTTCTTTTGGCGATGCTTCGAAAGTAGTTGTCAAGGAACGATCTGGTATCAAGAGAGAAATGGACGAATCAAAGAGATAAGAGATGTATACTACATACCTAATCTTAAAAGCAACATACTGAGCATGAGACAGTTAATGGAGAAGGAGTACTCGGTTCTGATGAAGGACCGAGAACTACAACTAAAGGATAAACTTGGGAGGCTTATTGCTCTGGTAGAAATGAAGAAAAATCGCATGAATAAACTTGAGCTGAAAATAGTTCAAGATAAATGCATGAAACTTGATGTGGAGGATGAGGCTATGAAGTGGCATTTTCGGTTCGGTCATCTTCACTTCGGTGGGTTGACTGAGCTGGTGAAAAAGGAGATGGTGTTCAGATTGCCTAAAATGGAATTCGAAAAAAAGTTTTGTGAAGAATGTGTGATCGGGAAGCAAGCAAGGACTTCTTTCCCAAGGAGTTCTGAGTGTCGAGCAAAAGAGCGAGTTGGACTAATCCATATGTATGGGCCAATAACTCCAGAATCATTCAGTGGTAAGAGATACTTCGTCTCTTTCATTGATGATTTCTCGAGAAAGACATGAGTTTATTTTTTGAAGGAGAAATCAAAAGTGTTTGAAACTTTCAAGAAATTCAAAGTGATGGTGGAGAAAGAAACAAACAAAGTCATCAAAGCAGTCCGATCTGACAGAGGAGGCGAGTTCACTTCTGCTGAATTTAACAAATATTGCGAGGAACATGGGATCAAGCGTTTCTTGACTGCCCCATATTTTCCGCAACAAAACGGTATAGCGGAACGAAAGGACCGAACCATTCTCGATATGGTTCAATCTATGTTGAAAGGGAAGAATATACCGAAAAGGTTTTGGGCAGAGACGGTGCAGTGCGCAGTCTATGTGCAAAATAGATGTCCACATACAAAGCTAGGTGAGAAGACACCTCAGGAGATCTGGAGTGGTATGAAGTCGAGTATCTCTCATCTAAAGGTGTTTGGTAATGTGGCCTATGGGCAAGTACCAAGTTAGCACAGGACAAAATTAGAAGAACGGAGCAAGAAGTACATATTTATCGGATATGATGAAAAATCTAAAGCGTATAAATTGTTTGATCCTATTAACAATAAAGTGGTGGTAAGCCGAGATGTTCACGTGGAGGAAACAAAGCAGTGGTGCTGGAGTAACCCGGGCGAAGAAGAAACTAGTTCAGAAATTGTTGTGCCTTCAATAGCAACAACCACTGAGTCCTAAGATGAAGAAATAGAGACACAACAGCCCAGGATGAGAAGTCTACAGAAAAATATATGACACTACAAATGAAGTTCATGTTGTATGTCTTCTGGCTGACTTTGAAGACTTGAGTTTTGAGAAAGCTATCCAAAATGAGAAGTGGAGAACAATCATGGATGAGGAGATTGGAGCGATTGAACGCAACAAAACTTAGGAGCTAACCGACTTTCCTGAAGGAGCTCGACCCATTGGAGTAAAATGGGTGTACAAAAAGAAGATGAATGTTGAGGGAGAGGTTGAACATTACAAGGCTCGACTTGTGGTGAAGGGCTATAGACAAAAGAAGGGAATCGACTATGATGAAGTATTTGCTCCTGTCATGAGAATGGAGTCAATCCAACTTCTGATCTCATTAGCTGCTCAGAACCAATAGCCAATTCTACAGATGGATGTGAAGTCGGTATTTCTAAATGGAGTGCTGAAGGAGGAGATGTACGTCGAGCAACCACTCGGGTACATGAAGAGAGGGGATGAGAAGAAGGTGCTGAGATTGAGAAAAGCCCTCTACGGGCTGAAGGAGGCTCCTCGTGCCTGGAATGAGAGAATTGACGGGTATTTCAAGAAAAATGGGTATGAGCAATGTCCATACGAGTATGCCTTGTACACAAAAAAATCAGAAAAGGATATGATGGTAGTTGCTCTTTATGTCGACGACCTCATATTCACTGGAAGCAACACAAAGCTGATTAAGGAGTTCAAGGAGGTAATGAAGAAAGAGTTCAAAATGACCGACTTAGGCCTGATGAAATATTTTCTTGGCCTAGAAGTGATGCAGTTGGTGGAAGGAATTTTTATATTCCAAGAAAGATACGCGCTTGAAATTTTAAACAAGTTTAAAATGGAGGACTGTAACTCGGTTTTTACTCCAATGGAACCGGACACTAAATTCTCAAAGTTTGATGGAGGAGAACGAGCTGATTGTAGGAGATATCGAAGCTTAATTGGAAGTCTGAGGTACCTTACAAGCACGAGACCCGACCTAATGCTGAGTGTTGGGATAACAAGCAGATACATAGAGAATCCAAGCTACACACATTGGAAGGCCTTGAAGAGAATTCTAAGATATGTTCGAGGAACCCTATCACTTGGTCTTTTCTATTAAAAATCGGATGACTATCGACTAGTGGGTTACTCGGACAGTGATTAGTGTGGTGATGTTGATGACCGGAAAAGTACTTCAGGTTATGTATTCCTACTCGGAAAAACAGCTTTTACTTGGCTGTCAAAGAAGCAGCCCATTGTAACTCTGTCAACCTGTAAGGCCGAGTATGTGGCAACCTCTTGGAGTGTGTGTCATGCAGTCTGACTTTCAAATCTACTAAGGCATCTGGGAGTGATCCGAGACGAAGGGACTGTAATCCGAGTTGACAACAAGTTGGCGATCAAGTTGGCAAAGAACTCAATTAATCATGGAAGGAGCAAACTCATCGATGTCCGATTTCATTTCATCCGATAATAAGTCAGAGAAGGAAAGGTCGAGCGGGAGCATGTTGAAAGCCGAGCTCAAGCCGCATACGTATTCACCAAGTCCCTACCGACCACACAGTTGGAGAGTTGTAAAAGACTTATTGGAATGAGAGATGCGAAAAGTATTTAAGTCTAAGGGAGATATTTGTTGTAAAACTTAAATTAATTATTTGGTATTCTTAGAATAGTATTAATGATATTAATGATTTTAGGTACAAGTTGTATAACCAAAAAATATAGGAAAGCAGACCTATTTAATACATATTATGATTTATTTTTTGGTATCAACTCATTTAAAACTGCAGGAGGAGAAACATTGAGAGATTAAAAGAAAACTGCCAACTTCTATTTTCTGCCAACAAGTATAACCTACCAGCTATCTTTGGTTCAATGGAGAAATAATGAGAGGAACTTCGGGATGTTTTTGGTGAGGCTACTTTCCTCGATTGAAAACTATCATTCTCAGGGATATTATTCATCACAGTGTCCTTCTTGCTACCAATTGTTACTATTTTCCTCTAAAATCGAAACTTTACATCCTCAAAGGGTAGAAAACTAGAAATCAATTGCTACCAAAAAAACCATGGAGCGATTGCACGTACAAGATTAGTGCACCAATAAAACAAGAAAAGATAGAAACTTTACATCAAGGGTAGGTTTTGTTAATTAATTCTACAAATCCAGGGTGTGGTTACACTTACAGCTTCAGCTCCTTGCTTGAGCAGAATGAGAGAACTATCACTTGAGTCAGCATCAGTCTCCATATATTCAAGGTTTCAGGCAGTGGAACTCCTGGTGTTTAACTCTCTTCAGCAACAATTATCTGCTCAAAAAGTAAAGATTACACAATGAAAAATAGAGAAGAAAAAACATGTAGGTGTAGATATTAATTATAGTAAAGATTGGAGTTGAGTAAATTCAGTAATTTAGAATACAATTAATACAAAAGTGAATGGTATGATAGCAAACAACAATTGCAATGGATATCATGCAGTACTTGCCATCAATTGCAGCCACCACAAGTTCAGGAACAAACCTGACAAGTGCCTCACTTAGGGTAACAGAACTGAACAAACAAAACGATACGTTTTGCGCCATGTTTTTTAACGCATAAAATCCACTTCAAACAAAACCGGCCCAGTCTGCAGGCTGGGCGGGTTGGACCGGTTCGTTGAAAAAAGGTTCAAATATGCTTAAGATTTTCCGAAGATTTAAAATTGTAAAAAAGTTAATCACAGTAAAAACTTCTAAAATTTTCAGATTTAAAATTCTTAAACAAATGTATTTTAAAAATTTTAAGAATAGGAGAAAAGTGATATCCAAACATATCCTTTTAGTGTGAAGTGTTCAAAGTCATCTAAAGTTTACATTTATTTTCCAAATTCCTTTATTAAAGTACAAGGTAATTGGGTTGGTTTTGCAAGATTATTTTACTTTTTCAGTAACACAATTTTTTTTCTAATATATATTTTTATTATGTAATAAATTTCGTGCGAAGCCTGTTGAAAATGAAGACCAGCTTTTTTTATAGGAACTTTCACATGTGGAAATTAAATTTATGTAGTTGTCAAATTCATTATTAAATGGATGGTAATTTTTAACATATGATTAACAAGCCATTAATGTCATTTTTAAAAATTAAAATTGGATTAATAGCCTTTTCCCCATTTTGCTTTCTTGAGTGAATGAATAAAAATAAAATGAATTGAATATATATTGCCATTTAAGCATCAAGCTACTGTAGCTGAAACTGTATATAACCATCCAATTACCAAAACAGACACAAACACAATCATTCGAGAAGTACAAGATTTTGGATTTCACAGATATTCCCCTACCACAGAATAATATACCTGGCTGGGGGTAAGGATTTCAATGTTTTGTGATGAAATAATGTTTTCGATAAAAAAAATTAATAATAATAAAATAAACTGAAGTAAAGATTTTTACTTGGATAAACATGGAGTGCCATTGAAAAAAATGCCCAAAAAAGAAAAGAAGTGATACAATTGTTATTCTTGCATTCATCTTCATATACAGTAAGTGTTCAAATCAAAAGGTTGAGAGCCTCCATCTCCTCCTTGAACTTGAGCAATGCAGCACTTGGGAGGGACACAAAAATCCTAAACCCTCCTTTCATTGAAGAATCCAAGTTGCAAAGAGGTGAGAAAATGCATAAATCAACGGATTCAAACATGTCACGAGGGGCTGGTACAGTATTCACAAGTTCCTGAAATCCAAAATCTACCTTTTCCAAAAACCCCAAATTCCTCCAATCTGTCATGGTAGTGAATGAACCACTCCCTTCAAGGTTGAAATCCTTTTGTTCTGTCTCTAAAGTGTCGATGAAGTTTCTGACATAACCACTGTTACAAGCAACCCTCTTGCTTTCTCGAATGAGCTTCACAACCTCATAGAGTGGCCTTTCGTTGAGTTCCCTCATTGTTAGAATAACCTCAGCATCCACAACAGCATTTCCATAATACCCTTCAGGCAAAGGATCAAGCAAGTTCCTTCTAACCCCAACTGTGATATTCAGCATAACTTTCCCATCATCGCTCATTTTTAAGGCCCTAGATCTTGATCTCCACACATATGCAGCAAGTGATTCAAAACTAGTGAAGCTTTCATTGTCACCTGATTCCTTCATCAAACTCATCTTGAGTCCTCTGATGCTCTCACTGTCCACCTTAATGCACTCATGCATGAGAACTTTGGTTGGAAGAAAGGGTGAAACTGCAGTTGAGGCCTCATCAAGAGAATCAATTTGCAATGGATGTTCAGTGATTGATCCCACTAGCCTCTCTCTCTCCCACACAGGCTTCACAGAGGGCTCACTTTTCCCCCTTGCAAGCTCAATGATGGCTCTGAAGAACTGGGACGCTCCAACGCCATCACAAACAGCATGTGACAGCCCCATTCCAATGGTAAACCCCCCACAAGGAAACTTTGTCACCTTGAACACCAAAGGATATTGGTCGCCACTTTTATCTTGACAGGGTAGGTCAAACACCAAATGTTTTGCACTTTCCATGTCGGTGCCATCCAAGTAATGAAGAGAAGAAAGGTGGCAACTAGCGTTGGCTTCCAAGAATGGAACACCTTCTGCACTGCAATTGATCCTAAGCTTTCCATCAGTGTGCTTTACTAGCCTACCTGCAAGAGGGTAATAATAGAATAAAGCCTTTGAAAGTGCTGCTTTGATCACTTGAACAGGATCTAGGAATTGACCATTAGGACAACCAGGTTCATCATAATCATGAGTTGCTGATCGATACACATGAACCGTTTGACACAGGCTATTAAGATCAGGTATGTTATCTATTGTAGACAGAGAAAGAAAAGAGGAAGGCGTTGGTTTTGATGGTTTGATAAGTACAACTTCTTTCATGTCAAGCTTGAAGGATGCCTTTTGAGGTGCCATACAAACGAAGGGAAGTTAAATAAATGTCTGAGTGTGTAGTTGTGAGAGTATAGCCTCTATATATTTGATTTGATGATGGAGAAATGTGATAGTATGCTTAAAGAATATGGATATACACTCTCAAGAATGAACCACACACGTTCTTGGATATGAATAATAAATAACATTTACACATGATAAGTTATTATTATTTTTTTTAAAAGTTAATTGCTTATTATTTTATAGATTTTATATTGCGTACAAGAGTTGTTAATTACATGCATGCATGGTTTACAATAATGTGATTTTCATGTGACATAGTATTACATTTTTATAAAGTAAAAATTTATTCACATGTTGGTCGAATAAAATGAAAAACTATCAAAATGAAACAAGCTATAAAATAAATACAATTTCTCAAAGTACAAAAGAAATTGTTTAAGGAGAGAATATACCTCTATAACAATAAGATGGAAGGGATCCTTTAGAGGCACTGATTGAGGACATGTTCCCATGTGCTGGTCTAGCCCATTTCAAGACAAACAAGCATGTGGGAACCCTTTTTTTTATGAGTTTTCTATTTTTTTTATGACTTGTATGACCTAGAATGAGGACAGATTTTAGATTATTTTAATTTTTCCTAAAATATGGTAATTTTCTCTGAGAGTTAGCTTTTTAGAATATTACTATATAAAATCAATTTATGAAGTATAGTTTTCGAAAACAAAAATATTTTTACAAAAGGTAAGCATGTAAGTTGGTTTAAGTTCATATAAAAAGCTTAGTTTATTTTACTTTTATAAATACTTTTTAGGTGCAAAAAGAATGAAAAAAAAGTTGCAAACAATAAATTGTGAAAACTTTGAACTTTATCATATGAAACAAAAAATTACATGTAGATGCATTAGGTTTCAAATATAAAAAACTAATTAGTGGATCACGAGTTCAATATTATAATATTACGTAGACTTGTTTTTTCTTCATCAAGCTTCACGTGATTTTGAATCACCAATGCCCATGTCTTTTGTTAAGATATTTGTGCAGTTAACAATGTTTTTCTTTTTTTTTTATTCCAACGATAAATTGATAATTGATAATGTTTCCATCAACGTTAATAACTATTTTAGCAAAGAAAAATCCTTGACCTTGTGCCAATTACTTTAATTTTTTTCTAACAAGAACAACAAATGCATGGAAAAAAATGACAATTTTGCGCATGCCATGATGCTTGCATGAAATCATTTGCAACTATATGCGAAGTTAAATATTGAAAAGATATAAAAACGTCTTCAACAACCGTTTGATTTGATTTGAGGAAGATCATCCTATTGTGCTGATTCCTAAACTACAATCACTTGTATGTTACTTATGGAACTACAACAGGACTTCACTCATTTTTTTTAACATGCAATTTCCCCCAGCAATTTCTAAAGCATCGGGCAAGGAAATGTACAATGGAACACTGGAATTGTCAATTCCAAACACTCTAACATCCCATTGTATCTGACACGGTCTCTTCCTCAACCGTGGTAATACGGCTAACAACATAGAGATGGGATCATCATCACATTCGTCAGATCCTCATCAATAATAGGTTGCTTTTTATGCTTAGCACGACGCAAGTCCTCCTAAACAAATGATAACAATTAATTAAACATTTATATAATTATAATACTAGAAAAGAAGTAAATAGACAATATGTATATATATATATATATATTACCTTGGTGCTGTCTTGATAGTGGCATAACCAAACGTCTTGGCCAAGCCAAGAATGTCCCGCTTGCCTGCCCCACTAATTGAATCTCTTCATTAGGAAAAGGCACTGGAGCATTAGCATCATTAACTTCATCAACTACTACTCGTGTCCAGTCCGGTCAGTAGAGGGACACCATGGATGGTTAAGCCACCCTCAAAAACTCGACCAACGACCACTAGACGCGGGGTCATCTTCAACATATAACTCACACTCGGTGTGATGCATCGATCCGAGTATATTCTCCTGAAGGATCAACGTAGTAGCGAGCACAACTCCCTTTAGTGCCGACTCGAACAATATCATGTTCAATTGTTTGAGGTGTTCCTTGAGTCCGTTCTTGAGAGCGGGCGAGAGATTCAATTTTCTCATCAAACTCTTGCCGCAAGGATTGCCTTATTTGATTTAACTTTTCTTCAAACTGCATCTCCATTTTATGCAAGGCCTCCTGGCCGCAAGAGTCAGCGAGTGGTCCTTCGTGATGTTGGACCAAAGTAATCACGAAGGCCCCGAGTTCCACCAAGCACCACGCACACGTCCCGAGTAATCTGGTTTTCCTATGGCCGTCGCCAATATATCTTGTCGACCATGAGGAATAAATGATCCTTGGCTGGTCTCGCTCAACTAAATCATCCTACAACACATTAACAATAATTAAGTCATACACTAACTTTCAAATTAAAATCAATTCAAATTGACATTATAACTTACGATTTTCTCGAGCAATGATTCGTGCGGACTCGGAAGTCATTTGTCCATCAGATTTTGTCCGGCCGCCTTCCACATCCGATAGCGAGGGGGTGGAGATGCAAGGTCGGTAGAATCAACTCCTGCCGACTCTTCTCTCGGATTTCATGAGACGTTGCTCCAATAATGCATACCCTCCTCGTGACAATACATGAGGTGCATCATTCAACCTCCGACGTTGTTGGGCGGCTTGTCTTTTATCCCGCCAAGAGGGGTCCATTCGGTCGGCACAAAGCCGTAACCAATCCTCCTCACTAATTTGATACTTTAGACAGGGAGATTCATCTCGAAACTTTCCAAATACATACTCCCGTGTCAAGAAAGTCTTAAAGTCCCTCCATCTAATGGCAATGGAGGATAAAATCTTCTTCCTCATCACCTCGGTGTTAGGAACATCAAAATTTTGCTGTGAAATGACCAATAAATGTTAAATTCAATTAATAATGATATATAAAGTATTCAACAAATATAGGAATACCCGAACATCCTGCCACATGAGGTTCTTCTCGGTTTCCTCAACATCATCCCAAGATGGAGTAGTAATCGGAACATGGTGTCGAGCTAGTAGTCCCAAATAGCTCTTAAACTTAGCAGCATTTGGGCCAGATGCCTTACCAGAACGTGGATCAACTTCAACTTGAGTTTTCTCTCTAGCTACCCTCCTTGCTGTCAACCCCTTTAACCGAGTGACAGATCTACCTTTATCACCACTTCCGCTCCTGCCACTGCCACTACCACTTCCAGTACCAGCTGTGGAATCCGACATATCCTGAAAAACAAAACAATATGAAGTCAACATACTTTATAAGTTTGAATAAAAAGAACTAGAAAATGTGAAGATAAACACCTATTATGTTGGTATGTTTTCCCATATCCCTTCATCATGATCACTTCGAATTGCATGTATGTCATCAACTTCATTGTCAACTATGTCATCAAATGGTCTACTTGAAAATGAAGGTGTTTCATGTATATCTAGAGACTCATCTTCATGAATTCCGTGCATGCTTCTTCCTTCTAGGACAATTGACCATCTCTCATTACATGGATCCTTGACATAAAATATTTGTCTCGCTTGATATGCCAAAATAAAAGGTTCATCCTTATACCCAACTTTACTCAAATCAACCAAAGTAAATCCTAGGTCATCTGTTCGCACACCCGTATTCCCTTCAACCCATTTACACTTGAAGACAGGCACCCTAAAAGTAACATAATCAATTTCCCATATCTCTTGTATGACCCCAAAATAACTCATAGAAGCTCGTGATAGGATTTTTGTCTTTAGAACTAGAAAAATGCATAGATTCAGCTTGAATTGTGACCCCACTATTTTGTACTCTACCTTTATCATCTTCTATTTTTGAGTAGAAACAATAGTTATTAATGTCATACCCACCAAATGTAATGACATCACTATTAGGCCCACGAGCAAGTCTCAAAAGTGTTTCGAAGCATTAATCTCAACATATACCCTTTTTTAAACCAAGAAAGGAAACTTTTGTTATGTTCATTCAATACCCATTTTTCATTCATTCGTGGATGTGTTGCCTTTATTTCGGTTATGTGTTGTGATATGTAAGGGATTACTTCATCGGTGTTGTTCAATATGTATAAATGTGCTTGGTCAACTTCTTTCCGACTAACATTTTTAATCTTCAAATTTCGAGTACCCTTACCTTCACATCTTCCATCATGTCTCATCTTAGGAATACCTATTGGTTCCGATTTTGACATATATCCTTGACAAAACTCAATGGCTTCTTCCGCAATGTACCTTTCCACAATAGAAGCTTCCGGCTCGTACTCGATTCTTCACATATCCTTTTAAGATCTTCATGTATCTCTCAACAGGATACATCCATCTAAGAAAAATTGGACCACATAATCGAATTTCCCTTACCAAATGGACTATCAAATGCACCATGATATCAAAAAATGAAGGGGGAAAATACATTTCTAATCGGCACACTATTACAATTGCTTCATTTTCTAATTCATCTAACTTTTTTGGATCAATTACCTTTTTACAAATGGCGTTGAAAAACAAACATAACCGAGTAATAGCAATTCTAACGAAGTTGGTAAGATGTTTCGAATAGCCATCGGTAAAAGTTGTTGCATCAACACATGACAATCATGAGACTTTAAACCAACTAATTTCAACTCTTGCATAGACACAAGACTCTTAACATTTGAGGAGTATCCTTGTGGCACTTTGACCTCACGTAAACACTCACAAAAGCTTCTCTTTTCTTTCTTTGATAGAGTATGACAAGCTTGGAGGTAAGTAAGTGCGTTTTCCAATTGATTGTGGATGTAATTCGAACGTATACCCATGTCCGCCAAATCTTGTCTTGCTTTTATTCCATCTTTTGTCTTTCCTTTTATGTTAAGCAATGTCCCAATTACACTATCACAAACATTTTTTTCAACATGCATCACATCTATACGAGTGTCTAACTTCCAACTTACACCAATAAGGAAGATTGAAGAATACAGATCGTTTCTTCCAAAT